TTTTTTTTTTCTTTTTTGACACCATTGTGAACAAATCCCCAAGCAGTAAAGTCTGTGGGCGTTATTTGAGCAAAATAGCTGGAGGCAGAAAATATTCTACAATTACACATTCCAAAAAACCTGCACAGGGAAAAAAATACTCTGCAGTTAGTGTATTTTTAGGCTCACGGAAAGTGGAATAAATATTTAACAGTAATAACAGCACATTTTTCCTATTTGAGGCACTTTACGAACGTTCCTTATGTCCTACCACGGCCTTAGCTGTGGATCATTATGAGGATATTGCCCATGTTTGGGGTCTGATTGCCTCTTTTGGCCCTGGGGATGGTAGTCCCAGGTGTCTGACCATCCGTGGTGGGTCAGCAGTCAGTCTGTTCCTCCCTTGCTGAGCCCACCCTGTTTCCAACGTTGTGCCCAACCTTAGCATTACAGATCGTTTCCCCACCAAGGGAAAAACTCCCAGGAGTGACCAGGAGCAGGACCCAGCACCAACCCAGGGTGGTGCAGCTTCTGCCTGTGCCTCTGGTGTGCTTGAGACCACTGGCTGCCCTGTGGTGCTCAGATGCCACCCGTGGTGCAGCAGAGGGATGGACATGGAGTGGTTGGACTTGGTTGATCCCAGGTCCTCCATGCTCCTGTTTCCATGGCAGCTTGGCCTTTGCTGATCTCCACCAAGGAGATGAGAGTCTCCTTCCCTGGTGGCTGCTCAGTGTGATGGCCATGCACCAGCACGCGTTCACTGGGGTGCTTTTCCATGGGGGGGTTGCACAAGGAGGGTGGATGTCGGCTGCTTTGGCGGGTGGCTGTGCTGATGGTGATGGACCTGGGGCAGGATCGGTCCCTGCAGCAAAGATGAACATGCAGCCACTTCCCCGGCTCTTGCCTTGGGAAGCTCTTGCCTGAATAACTGAGCCCTTTTTCTCCCTCCTGTGTAGGTTTTTGGCAATATCAAATTAGATGAGGAAAGCCACATTAACCGGCACAACAACTTCCGCAGCTTCCTGGGTTCCCTCATGCTCCTCTTCAGGTATGTGGCCATAAAATACTCATTTAGGGGCATTTTTGGGTGCTGGCATGCCAGGAGCCAGGCTGGGCAGGTTCTCACAGCAGGCTGTTAGGTGGACATCAGCTTTTGGAGCTAGCAACCAGCTGGGGTTTCCTGAGCTCCTGTGGCCTTTTTTTTTCCCTACCTTGTGCCAAAAAGGATGTCTGTCCCCCAGTTATTTGGACTGGCTGGCTGGGGGAAGTTGGCCCCCTGTGCCAGGACCTACACCCTGGCATGGCTGCGCTTGTGTGGGTCCAGCTCAGTCACTACTGGTCCAGTGCCTTGCTCCTCTGCATGCTGGAGATGTGTTTAATTTGGGGGAGGAGGGTTGCACAGCTTCTTGTGAGGTTTCTCCTGGGGGTATCCTGTCCTGGGTCCATCCCGTGCCACCACAACCTGCTGTGTTGGGTGCAGGAGTGCCACGGGAGAGGCATGGCAGGAGATCATGCTGTCCTGCCTGGAGGGCAAGGGCTGTGAGCCGGACACAACGGCAACGTCCGGGCAGAACGAGAATGAGCGCTGTGGCACTGACCTGGCCTACGTTTACTTTGTCTCCTTCATCTTCTTCTGCTCTTTCCTGGTGAGTTCCCCCTCCCTGAGAGCCCTGGGGGTGCCTCTCTCATCAGCCCCGCGCAACCTGCACCCCAGCCATAAGGTCATCTCTGCTCCCCCTACCCCTACTTTCCTTTCCCTTAGATGCTCAACCTGTTCGTGGCCGTCATCATGGACAATTTTGAATACCTGACTCGGGATTCCTCCATCCTGGGACCTCACCATCTAGATGAGTTTGTCCGGATCTGGGCAGAGTATGACAGAGCAGCGTGGTATGTAGCCAGCTCCTTCTCTCCTGAGCAACCTCTCAGAGTTGGTTTTGAACAGGCATCTCTGTGTTCTGCTGTCGGAAACCGGCTGCGATGCCTGGGATGGTCGGGGAAGGGCTGGTCTCACTCATGGTCGTTACACGGATAGCAGCTGGTTCCTACAACACCTGGTGTTACAGGCATCTTGAGTGATGTTCACAGTTTGCCATGGTGGTTATCCTGAGCGCTGGAGGTTCCTACTCTTTCTCTCCTCTACGGCCAGTAGGCAAGTCCCTCTCAGCCTCCCTCTCTGTCCCCCTCCACCAGCTCTGTCCTGAGACTGGTTCCATCACCTAGTCCCAAGTACCCACAGCTCCCTGGTCAGAGCAGGGCTGAGTGTGGCTTGTTCCCAGCAATGGGGAAAGTGCTGGGGATCTGCTGGGCTCCTGCCAAGTAACCTCTGGAGGACCTTGTTGGGAGCGTGTTTGATGGGTTTGGGCAGTTGTCTTATTACACTGGGAGGACTTTTTTTTCCTGCACTCACGCCTTTGCTGATGAAGACCCCAGCAAACAGGGCTCCCGTTTGCTGGCAGCATGTTCCCAGCAATGGGACAAGTTCACAGCAACCACTCATACTCCTGGTGGTCGGGCTTTGGCTCTGCTCCCGCTGCTGCTGCAGAGGAGCTGGTCTCCACCGCTCCTCGTGGGGTGGTCTGGAGTATCCCCAGGGCAGTGTGGAGCACACGGCACCTCTGGGAGCATGTTTGTCCTCCACTCATCCCCAGCACTACAAGGGCATCTCATGTGGCCCCTTCTTCCCTCCCCCAGCCCATTGACAGCCTCTCTGGAGCCATGACCCACCACCGTTGTGCCAGGGAGCGTGGGCGATCTTAGTTCAAGAGCCCTTGAGAGCCACACGCGCTCCCTTTGGAGACTCTTCACTTCCACTGCTAATGTCCTACCCCTCAAGAGACCAGCTCCAGACAAGATATTTTTTAATGCCTAATATCATCAGCTCCTGGCACAGTTTCCTTCACCGTTTCTGTCCAACCCTGTGCAGCTCAGTGCTGGCCAGGTTCCTCCCTGTGTGGCCTCCTCCAGCACTCTTGTTGCTGTGCAAGATCCCCATGGGCAACTGTGCCTTGTGCAAGGGGGAGAGGTCAGTACGGGTGAGTAGATGTCCTGATGGACAACTAGAGAAGGGAGAGGAGGTGAGAGCAGTGAAACATCCAGCTGCTTGGTGTGGGGCTTCTCACCCATGGTTTTTGGGAAGGATTTCTTCACACCAGATGCTTCATTGACTCTCGTCCCCAATGTTGGTGGCCTGGGTCTCCAGGACAATCACTGAAAAAGTATGCCTGAACTGTCCTGTCGATGCCATGTACCCCTCTGATTCTGAGCAAGCCCTGCTCTTTTGTCATGATATGTAACCAGTGGTTAGGGGATGTGCGCAAGAGCCGGTGGTGTTGAGCCCATGGGGGCAGCCCTGGCCCCGGTTGCTGGGTGAGGAACGGGTGAGTACATCTGAACGGGTCCCACCACCTGAGTGGGGCAGCAGTTCTGCATCCTGACACCGGGACCATCACATGAAGGTCTCATGGGGAGACCATCCAGCACCAGGGGGGGCTCAGGGATGAGTTTTGCCCAGATGGTTGGGTTAGCTCTGGCCTGTGATGGAGAGGGGATGGGAGAAGAGCAAGGAGAAACCAAAGGCAAAGGCGCCGGGTAGGATGGTAACGCTGGTCTTTGCTTTCTCATGTGGTTTCCCTTCAAGCTTGTCTGAGGATGCCCAGGAGGCTGCAGCATGCTGCACCTCAGCACTTCCACCCCACACGGTCCCACTTCCCAAAGGGCTCTGGTCTGGAGTGGAGCGGGGAGCTCAGCATTCAACGGCCCCTACACCCTCTCCTGCCAGCTCTCTGCCTCGACTGCTTTCTTATTTCAGCCGGTGCAGGAGGGATACGGGCTGTTTCCTGCAATGACTGTGCCCGGGCCTGGGGAGATGTGCTTCTGTGGGCAAGAAGTGGTGTGTGTATGGGCGAGTTTGCTTCTAATAATGTGTACCCTCGGCAGAGTGTGGTCTGGTGGTCGGAGCGCAGGACTGGACCATGAGAGACCTAGGTGCTAGTGCCACAGCCACCGGTCACCAGCTGGTCACATTATCTCTCGCCATCTCAGGTTCGCCAGACATTGGAGATACAAGTGACTCAGCTGCCAAGCTCCCTGGGACCTTGTGAGGACCAGAGAGTTGGCCGTGTGAGGGCAGGCTCTCTGGTGGTGTGAGAACTCCATCAGAAGGGCTCGTGATGGCTAGAATCCAACCAAGCTGCAGGCTCACCCCATCTAAAATCCCAGCCCTCTCCCACCAGGCATAGGCGGCCAGGGGCACGATGAGAAAGGGTGATGGGCTGGTGTTCACCACCAAAACTGTCCTTCTGCAGGGTCAAGATGGGTCAGTGTGAGGAGGTATGAGCTGACTCACGGAGGAGAAGGCAGTAGCTGATGCTCACAGCTTTCACCTCTCTGGGTCTGACAGAGACAGAAGGAGAAGAGCCATGCACCCCCGGGGGTCTTGCCCCACGGATGGCCCCGGCATCCCCCGGTTAAGCTCTCCATCCTCCCCTCCACTCTCTCAGTGTCCTATTAACCCACCTGTGCTTCCTTTGCAGCGGCAGGATCTCGTATAAGGATATGTACAAATTAGTTCGGGTGATCTCGCCTCCTCTGGGCCTAGGAGAGAACTGCCCCTACAGGGTGGCGTGCAAGGTTTGCCTCCCAGTCCTCCGCCACAACCTGGCCACGGGACGCACCATCCACCCCTCCTTCCCACCCCGCTCCACCACCACCGCGCCTCCTGAGGGAACCCTGACGTTGCTTTCCTTTTGAGTTTAAAGAGGTCCACGGCCTCCCAGAGCCAGCAGCTGTCCCCCTCAAGGGGAAGCATGAGTAGGGCCAGGGGGGGCTCAGAGCCTCCTGGGGTGGGTTTTGACAAATTGCGTCCTCCAGCCAACCCCCTGCCCCAGCCACCATCAGTGCAGAGAGCCCCATAAAGGTTCCTGGGCCAAGTGTCACCGTCCCTGTGTCTCAGAGTGACCTCACATGGGAGCAGGAGGTTTTTTGAGTACTTAGATGTGGTTTGTTCCTGGAGAAGAAAGTGGGGAGCAAAGGTAGGAGGATGCTGGGGACTTTGCTGTTGTTTTGGAGAGTGAGGACTGGAGGGAGGATGAGGAGGCCAGGGTGACCCTTCTCCCTGGCGGACACCAACAGACTCTTCCTCAAGTAAGGCACTTGGAGGACATACAACAACATCCCTGGGGAGCAGGACTCTTGCTAGTCTTTCCCTTAGCTTGCCAGATCTTCTTGGGAGGTGGTGGCAACTGTGCACATCTATGGAGCTCAAAAGCTCCTCTTCTTCAGCTTGAGCCAAGCTCCCAGCTGCTGGCCATGAGTCCACAGCAACGATTTGGCCTCCTTGTGCCTCTCTGGCTTGCACTTTTTAAAAATTTTATTTTATTTTCTGTTGACAATTGATCAAAATCCTGTGCCTGCCGCCTTCTCCAAAGTGCCATGATGCCTATGTCTGTGTCCATGGCATGAAAGGATGAACCACAGAGATTGTTCTTCCATCTGCATCCCTCACAGGATCTGAGGAGGTGTATGAGGGAAGCTCAGACACCCCCAGTCCTTGCAAAGGAAGAGGGTTCCTTGGTGCAGCATGGTGTAGTCACCATGTCCTTCTCACCACATCAGAAATGTTTCTTCCAGCCAGCATCCCTGGAACGGGCCTGTCACCCTCCACAGCTGCTTATGGGGATGATGCACACATTTGAAATCTTGAAGTAAACCACCAGAAGTAAGGCAGAGCAAGCAAGACGAGGTCTTGGATGCTTGGCCATTGTATTTATGAAAAGATATTTAGGGATAGGAGATTTCTTGCAAGAATCTCAGATGGCTCATTTGTTCAAGGAGGGGCTCATTGCAATCTTTTGACTCTTCTCTGTTGGCAAAGGATGGTGGCTTTGCTGAGGACACTTGCTCAAGTCCCTGCAGTCCTCCTTTAGGAGGAATTTCTAATCTTTCTTGATTGACATCAGAGCTTCACTGGGAAACACTGCTCTTCTAAGCTGGATCACCTGGTGCTCAGAAGGGTGCCTGTAATGTCTCCTGGGAAGAGGGAGCTCTGCAGCATTCTGGGCTTTCTGCTGACTCTGTGGGATGGACAGAGCAGTGAAGGTGGATAGACTCAGGGGGAGGGAGAGGGAGTGAGACCAGTTTCTGCTGTTGTGTGAGGGAGACCATACCCATCTCTTCCTTGTCTTACCTCTGTCTCCTCCTCCCTATGCCTGGGCTATTTCAAGGACATAAGAGATTTTCAGGGATTCCTACTGACCTGGCACAATTCCCAAAAGGAACTGATGAAGAAAGAAAGCCCACGTGGTTGTTTCATGTTGCCACCATGGTCCAGATCCCAGATGCCAACCCAACTTGCTAATCTTTCAGCTTTGTGAGCCTACCCTGCACATCACTCTGTGCAAGTTCACCTTTCTGGAGCACAGAAGAGACCTTTAGGAGGAATTCCTAATCTTTCTTGATGGACATCAGAGCTTCACTGGGAAACACTGCTCTTCTAAGCTGGATCACCTGGTGCTCAGAAGGGTGCCTGTAATGTCTCCTGGGAAGAGGGAGCTCTGCAGCATTCTGGGCTTTCTGCTGACTCTGTGGGATGGACAGAGCAGTGAAGGTGGATAGACTCAGGGGGAGGGAGAGGGAGTGAGACCAGTTTCTGCTGTTGTGTGAGGGAGACCATACCCATCTCTTCCTTGTCTTACCTCTGTCTCCTCCTCCCTATGCCTGGGCTATTTCAAGGACATAAGAGATTTTCAGGGATTCCTGCTGTCCTGGCACAATTCCCAAAAGGCAACTGATGAAGAAAGAAAGCCCACGTGGTTGTTTCATGTTGCCACCATGGTCCAGATCCCAGATGCCAACCCAACTTGCTAATCTTTCAGCTTTGTGAGCCTACCCTGCACATCACTCTGTGCAAGTTCACCTTTCTGGAGCCCACACCCCTATCCTGCCAGGCAATGCGACAACGATGACTTGCAGAAACAAGCATTCCAACGTGTTTATGGAGTGGTGGACAGCCTTCTCTAGAAGAGATGGTGCTTGGGCAAGTTGAGGATGCTGCATAGGGGTGCAGCTTGGTATGGAAGCATACTTGCTAAGCCATCCACAGGTGGGATAACAAGGGGGCATTGATGCAGGAAGACTTCTTGTGTAAGTCTAGCAAGTTCTGTCCTTATGCTGGGGAGAGCAGGTCTTGTAATCACATCTTGCTGGGGCTGCATCCTTACAGCCAGCTCTACTCCTTGGGGCTTTCTCTGCCTTTCTTCAACCCATCTGCTTCTAGCAATCATGCAAAAATGAGCCAAGGAAGTGGGCATTATCTTTGCCCCCTAGAAGTAGCCCTAGAGATGGTCATGGGTCAGGCGCATGCTCCACTGACATTCATTTTATGTCCCTGTGGTCACCTCTTATTCCTAAATCTATTCTCACGTCGCTTGCTGTTATGGTGCTCTGTTTCTAAGAGCCTGGTAAGGCACAGCACTTATTTCCCAACCACATGAGGACAGATGTCCCCCAGATTTCCTCCTCCATCTCTCGCAGGGTTCTCTCAGAGCACCAGGAGCGAGCCATTACTGCCTGGCAGTTTTACAGGCCACCCTGTGCCATAGCCACAGGGCACATCTCTCTCCAGACACAGGACAGATGGCCAACTCTCCCATCAAGGATGTGCCTGTGCTGGGTCCAGCTCTTGGGAACCATCCTGTTCAGATGGATGTCATTGAGTGTGCTTTCCTGTGCTTCTGTCCATGGGGATATGGTTTCTGGAAACTGCTGTGCTGCTCAAAATGCTTTAAGATCTCTGCTCTGAGGAACAGCAAAGTGCACAGCCTGTCTGTGAGAATAGCACAGTTCTCACATAGTCCTTCTTGCTTACTGATGTGAACTCTTCCTTTCAAAGGAATCCATTCCTCCTTCACTGTGCAGAGAATCTCAGTACAAAAGACAGGCTCTGAAGGGTGCTGGGTGTGCTAAAATTCCCCCCGCCAGGAAGGATGGGTGGAAGATCACTGTCTTGCTTCTTTTTTATACAAAGTTGTTGAGCATGTAAATTTTGAAGTCATCTTCTCCCCTTCAGACATCTCGAGTCAGTGCTCTGCCAAGATGCTGCTTACGGACTCCTGGACCTGGATATTTCCTCTTGATCATCCCACTGAATAGTCTCCAGAGCTGTTATCAATCCTCTTTCCAACCCATTCAGGTCTCAAAGGGGATGGCTTGCCCAGCCTGTTCTGTGCCTTGCACTCCAAACAGCTCCCATTGCGGGTCGTCACCATCTCTAGTTCACATCTGAAATGTCAGGACCTATCTCTGGGAGGACCTCTTTGGCCAGGGGTCTGCTTCCCAACCAGTGGTATACCCTTAGAAGAGGAGTTATCTTCTTCTCCCCGTTCCATGCTGCTCTGAGCACATGGGTTGGGAAAAGGCCAGGATACCAAAGGGAGTCCTTAATTTTTCAGCAGTGACCTCTCTTCCAGGCCACCCTGCCTGAGATAGGTTCCTCTCCAGCAGCATCCTCCCAGCCCAGCTGTAAGGGTCAATGCTTTTGCTGATGTGAGGTTGCCCTTGCCCATTAATCGCCCTGAACGTTGCAGAGCAGGACAGAAGCCTGGCACGAGGGGAAGAAGAGGTAGCTGAGCCCAGGATCCCTGGGAAATGTACTTGAGCAGCCTCCTGGATGTGCAGAGAGAGGGAGACACAGCCCAAATATCTCAGCCTGGCAGAGGGCTCAAGGTGTCATCAAGTGGCCTGTTTTTTGGTAGCATCCCTCACTGCAGCAATCCCAGGCAGGTCCTCATGGAGCCGAGGAGCGCGAGGTGGGGGGTCCGTCCTAGCTTGCCTCCCTTGGGAAACCCAAATGAACCCCAATGTTGGAAGGCCCAAACAGCTGCCTCTGCTGAGACTCTTTAAACTCCAACCTGGTGGAACTTGCAGCCGCATGTGGGAGAGAGCCAGGGCGGGAGCATGGCATGTACAACTTTTCCTCCCGGTTTTGTTTTTTCAGCCGATTTCAGCATGCCGTTTTTTTGCACTGGTGCATGGTGGGGAAGTGGTCCATCCGCAGAGCCAGACGGAAGCAACTGGGCATCTTCCTTTGACAAGTGACCCTGGCCCACTGCCTTCTATGCAAGATGCTGCCTCCCAATTGCATAGACCTTAATGAGCTGGGGATACACAGCCTTCTGGCTATGGGTTAGGTGGCCGTGCAAAGCAAATACCCAGGTCCCCCCCCCGCCCCAGGAGGGAAGACGCTACGGAGGCCACAACAGCACTGTGGTGCAAAGCACCCCTTAACTCCAATAACCCATGGCTTGAGTGCCGTGTATCTGATTTATACCACTCGCACACAGCCCTGGAACCTGTGGGACAAGTTGGGGGCTGCTGGAGGGCTTTAGGAAAGGGGTTGAGACCGGAGGAGGACTTCCCAGACTGCTAGCGAGGCAGGCGCTTGAGGCCAGCAGCAGAGAGGAGGAGGGGTGAGTTGCTTTCTGCCAGCATTCCTGGGTCTGTGTGAGCAGTGCTATAAATCCACATCAGGACAGTCTCTCATGTATGATTTGCCTTGATTAACGGGTTTCCTGTTCTTTTCCTGTTTGTCCGTTTGTTTTTTCTCTCCTGTTTTCCTGTACTATTTTTGTTTGTACGTTTTTTTCCGCTCTCTGGGAATGCCTCCTCTCTCTCTCTGCATCTCCCTCCCTCCCCTTCCCCCTTCATGAGCAGTGGCCGAATCCATTACACTGAGATGTATGAAATGCTGACTCTTATGTCACCACCGCTAGGCCTCGGCAAGAGATGTCCTTCCAAGGTGGCCTATAAGGTAGATCAACCCTTCCTTCTACGGGGGCTAGAGCTGAGCAGGAGCTGGGGCTCAAGGGAGCTGTGGGAGGTTGGGGCTGGGGGAAGCTGGGGAGGCGTTGGGGCATCCAACGCGTGTTTAGCTCACTCCTGGGGAGCATGGTTTGCTCAGAAGAGCCCTGGCCACGCTGGCTGGTCTTCACTGCCCACACAAGTGATGCTGCTGCGGTCACTCGCAAGCTCAAGAAGCTCTGGGGTGGAAGACCCCAGTGAAAGAAAAGGGAGAGGATCAGCAATAGTGTGGAAGCGGGAGGGTTAGGGAAGATGAGGTGAGGAGCAACCCTGTAGCACAGTTAGGAGAGTGAGATGTCCTTAGGAGCTCAGTGACCCAAGCTCATCCTGTGGGCCCGGAACCATCCTTGTCCCGGCCAGTGCAAAAACAGGGGCTAAAGCCCATGGAGATGCAAAACAGGTGGGCAGCAAGGACATATCCTGTAGGAGCAGCTCTGAAGTGCAGAAGACAGGCACATCAGCATGAGCTATTCCATAGGTGGCTTGTGCAAGGCAAAGCCAGATGCCTTCAAAAGGTGTCTCTGAGTTTTACCCCCTTCTTCCTCCTGGGGTGGTGGCCAGCAGTTGGCACAGGCACAGCATGCTCCTGGCTGCATAGGCATGGAGCAGGAGCACGGGAAGACCTGAAGAACGTGGGGTGGGAGCTACATGGCTTTGCTGAGGGCAGCAGCTGTTAGGACAAGAGCTGGAGCTACAAAGTGTGGAGCAAACTGAAGCTTTTCTTGGCCACGGCGTTCAGGGCTGGCAAAGGAGGGATTTCTGCACGCTTGCAAACGTGCTGCCACCTTCTCCAGCTCTCACGTGGTAGTTCACGCATACCATACATCCACCGTCACACTTTTCCAGGAAAAAATAGGAGGCTTGAAGGCAGGGAAAGGACATGAGAAGCCGGGTGAAAAGAAACGGGCAGGGAAGGGATGACCCAAGGTATTCACAAAGCAAAATATACTCTCTGGAAAGTGGATCTGGTCACTTCGGTTTGCACCCCGCCTGCCCAGGGTGGGGAAGGAGCATGGCGTGTCTAACCTGCCTTGGTTGCCCTTTTCTCTTTCCTTCTGCACTTCTTCTACCCCTCCTTCCCTTCCTCACCCTTGGATAATTTGGACCCTGTGCATGTGCTGGCAAACTTCATCTATCAAAGACGCAAAAAGGGAGCGCCAGGATGTAGCATGCTAGAGGAATCCAGCCGATCTGAAGTCCCTGAAGGTTAGGGACCCTCCTCTCCCCTGCCCCAGGTGGGAAGGGTTGAGAGCTGGAAAGCCAAATCCCCCAGGAAGGGAAACCTGAGCCCCCTCTCCCCTTGCTGAGCATTCCCCCTGATGCATCAGGTGTGTCTTCCCAAAAGTGCCGGGAGGTGCCGTGGGGAGGGGGGCTCAGGGGCCATTCCTGGGGTGCAGGAGGAGCCCTGGAAGGCAGTGAGCCGGTGTCCTGGGGTGGA